CTCCTCCTCCTCCTCCTCCGTCTCTTCGACTCCGCCTCTGGCTCGGCTGCCTCTCTCTTGCGCTCGGCTCAAGTCTGGCTAGCCTTCGGTCGGGTTGCCCTTCCTCGCCACATTCCTGTTGCAGCGTCGTCTGGATTCGACACGGACCTGCTTCGACCACCGGCTCCCATCATATCAGCGCAACAAACACGACACTCCGCGTTCACCCGTGCTCATCCACACAGCTCACCGGAACCACGCCACCGTCATTGCACACCATCGCTTCGCCCATCTCGTCCCTGCTCTCAGATCCAGCCATCCTCTTGTCTTCGATCGGCGCTTCTTCGAGCCAAACCGAACGCACATTCGCACGAGCTCCGCACCACGCCCTCTCGCTCACGCACAGCCTGCTCCGATCCAAGCCGTGAAACCGGGAGCTCGTCACCTTGACAGCGCCACCTCCATCAACTCGTCCGCTTCCCACGATCCCTGGCCCGGCTCGCCACCCGCTCGGTTCAATCCACCAGATGACCCCCGCGTGCCGATGCACTTGCCCCATCACACTTGAACCCTCATCTGACAAGCGCATCTCGCCTCTCCCAACCTCGTAGCCGCACGTTCGTCAGCCAGCCTCGCTCCGCGATTCCACCCTCCGTTGTGGCAGCAGAGCCGGGCTCCTCCACCCATCAGGCTACGACCTAGTCCACCTACACCTACGAGTCCTCGGTCCAAGCGCAATCAGTCTTGCTCCTCTCTCCGCACAGCAGGAAACCTTGAGCCATGACGTCCCCGCCAGAGAGGGTGGCGCTCGCCGCGCCGCTGACGGCCAACCCTTCACAGAGCAATGCAGCGTTCAACGCCACGCCCTCACACACGCGATCCCCCACCGTCAGCAAACCCTTCATCTACCCCATGAAGTCCGCCGTCAGTCTCAAGCAGCCTCACCGTGAAGGTGTGGCATCCCAAGAACCCATGCCCCCATGCTCGCCTGCATCCGTCGGCGCCGCCTCACGGCCCCCATCTGCAGACGGACCCAAGCCACCCACGAACGACATCACCCATGACGGCCGAAATCGACCAGAGGACGTCGACAAGGAAGCCGACGACGCCATGGGCCGCATGAAGGTACCCGGCAACGAGGACAAGGACCTTCGCGACCACTTAGAACAGCTCACCACCACCCGCTTCGAGTACGTCAAGACCGCAGAGGGCCACATGATCCTCACCGGTCGCGGAGGCAAGCTCGCCCGCTGCGAAGACGAGCCCATCCACATCCCCGGCGCCGTCCAGTCGTTTGGCTGCATGCTGGTCGTTCGCATCTCGCCCGACGGCGACATGCTCGTGCGCCAGGCATCGGAGAACTCCACCCAGATCCTCGGCCTCTCTCCGTCGTACCTCTTCAGTCTGCCCACCTTCCTCGATGTGCTCGACGAAGACCAAGCCGACCTGCTCTGGGACAACATCGATTCGCTCGACCAATCCAGCCAGGACCTCGCCGAGTCCGGTCCCACCGTCTTCCAGCTGCGCGGATACGACATGGCGAGCTACGACGAGCGCATAAAGCAAGGCGCACAGCGCAAGTTGTGGTCGACATGGTGTGGCGCACACATCCCAGACCGCCGCAAAGACGGCGAAGGCGAACTCACCGTGATCCTCGAATTCGAACTGGTCGACGATGCCAAAAATCCCATCTCCACCTTTTCGCCCCCAACAACGCCAGCCTCGGAGCACGACACAGGCGCAGGGCCTGGATTAGGACTCGCCGCCGGCTGGATTCCATCGCAACCCACCTCTGGCTCCGCCTCCGGCGCACAGTCTCCTCCGGTCAGCATCGCCACTGTCCGCTCCAACGGCACCAGCAGCTCATCCACTCTGCGTGACATCGCGCCCCGCGGCCTCGATGGGCTTGCCTATACTCCCACGCCAGACGAGCTGCGCGAGTCGACGCTTGCCGTGCACAAACCGCTCAAGGCGCTCTCACGCATGCGTCGCAACGCCGAGGCCAGGCAGAACACGCGCAGCCGCCGGCCCGCCATGCTGCCCAGCACCGCAGCCGGCGATGGAGCCGGTGGCATGGTCGACATGTTTGGAATCCTCAGCCAAGTCAACGACCAGCTCGCAGCACAAAAGGACCTCAACGAGTTCCTCAAGGTGCTCGTCGGTATCGTGCGCGACATCACCCTCTTCAGCCGTGTCATGATCTACCAATTCGACGAGGCATGGAACGGCCAGGTCGTCTGCGAGCTCGTCGACTGGAACGACTCGCACGATCTCTACCGGGGCCTGCACTTCCCCGCCACCGACATCCCCGCCCAGGCCCGGGCGCTGTACAAGATCAACAAGGTGCGACTGCTGTATGACCGCGATCAACCAACCTCACGCATGGTCTGCCGCGATCAGGCCGATCTTGACTCTCCCGTCGACATGACGCATGCCTTCATCCGCGCCATGTCGCCCATCCACATCAAGTACCTCGCCAACATGGGCGTGCGATCGTCCATGTCCGTGTCCATCACCGCCTTTGGCGAGCTGTGGGGCCTCATCTCGCTGCACAACTACGGTGCGCATGGCAAGCGTGTCTCGTTCCCCATCCGCCAGCTCTTGCGCCTCATCGGCGAGTCCGTCTCCAGCAACATCGAACGTCTAAGCTATACCCGCCGATTGTCCGCTCGAAAACTCATCAATACCCTGCCGACCGACCAGAATCCGAGCGGCTACATCATCTCCAACNCCAGCAACATCGAACGTCTAAGCTATACCCGCCGATTGTCCGCTCGAAAACTCATCAATACCCTGCCGACCGACCAGAATCCGAGCGGCTACATCATCTCCAACGCCGAGGATCTCCTCACCTTATTCGATGCCGACTACGGTGTGATCGCCGTCGGAAACGAGGCCAAAATCCTAGGTCCGCTCAACGCGAGCCAGGAAGTGCTCGCGGTCACCGAGTATCTGCGACTGAAGAAGTTCCAACACCTCGTCACCTCGCAAGACGTTCGTCGCGACTTTCCAGACATGGTTCTGTCCACCGGCCTGCACGTCATCGCCGGTCTTCTGGTCGTGCCGCTGTCGGGCAGCGGTGTGGACTTCATCGCCTTCTTACGCAAGGCGCAGCTGCGTCACGTCAACTGGGCGGGCAAGCCCTTCAAGGAGGGCAAAGAAGGCGACGCGATCCTCGAGCCCCGCAAGTCGTTCAAGGTGTGGTCCGAAACCGTGGAAGGAACGTGTCGCGGATGGAAGGACGAGGAGCTCGAGACGGCCTCGGTGCTCTGCCTCGTTTACGGCAAGTTCATCTCGGTCTGGCGTCAGCGCGAGCAAGCGCTGCACTACAACCAGCTCAACCGCCTCTTGCTTTCCAACGCGAGCCACGAGGTGCGTACGCCGCTCAATCACATCATCAACTACCTCGAGCTTGCGCTGGACAGCAAGTTGGACGACGACACTCGTGAGAACCTCAGCAAATCGCACATGGCTTCCAAGAGCCTGCTCTTTGTGATCAACGACCTGCTGGATCTCACCAAGCAGGAGATCGGCAACGAGCTCTTGTTACAGGAACCGTTCGACCTGGCCGCCACGGTGCGCGAGGCCGTCGAGATGCACGAATGGGAGGCCAAGCGTCGCAAGATTGACTTTTCGGTCACCACGGATCCCGAGGTGTGCCTCGTCCTCGGCGACAAGAATCGCGTGCGCCAGGTCATCACCAACACGGTGACCAACTCGGTCAAGTACACCAGCGAGGGCCAGATCACCGTCTCGATGCGCAAGCGCAGCGAAGACGAACGCGACTCTGACCTACCGCCGGGATGCGACACGGAGGTGGAGCTCATGGTCCGCGACACCGGCGAGGGCATCCCGCAGGAGAAGCTCGAGGTCATCTTCCGCGAATTCGAACAGGTCGAGTCGGTGATTGCGCTGCCCGGCCGTCAGGAATCTCTCGAGTCGGAAGGCAGCGAAGCAGACAGTCTGATCCGCACTGATCAGTCTGATGGTGGTCTCGGTCTGGGTCTTGCCATCGTGGCTCGTGTCGTCAAGAATCTGGGCGGCCAGCTGCGTGTGGACTCTGTGGTGGGCGAAGGCACAACCTTCACCTACTTCATCCCGTTCTGTTCCGCCGAGAGCACCACGCCGACCGAAATGCCCCCGGTTGCACTGACCGGCAGCGCAGGCAGTGGTACAAAACGCGGCAGTGACACCATCTCGATGCGACGCTCCAATTCGATTGACAGCGGCAGCGCCAGCTCTGCAGGCAAAAGCGAGATCGATTCTTTAGTTGAAGCTATTCAGCAACCGTTTTTGCGTGATCAAAACCACATCGAAGACGTCACCCAGCAGCGGCGGGCCGCTGAAGCCCAAGGGTACAACGACGGGCCTAGAAACGCTTCGGCAGCCACACGTCGACCTGCTATCATGTCGCATCGAAGCCAGTCGTTTGACAGCGGCTCGCATCCCGTCGAGGGCAGCGGCGTACCTGTCCGCTCTGTCAAGATCGACCCCCAAAGGCTCGATCGAAACGACCGGGCGGATCGTAGACCGACCAACTCCGCCTTCTTGTCGAGTGCGACGGCGTCCGCGCGGCCAGCCAAGGCTCCGACGAGCACTGCCGAATCCTTCAAAGCCGAGGTCGAGCAGCGTGCACGCGGCAACGTGCCGCATCTTTCCGAAGATGCGCTGCCGTCCAGTGCAAGGCATTCGTTCTCGGAAGATCCCGTGGTGTCGCCTGGGACGCCAGCCAAGCGCGGCTCGATCGATTCGCCCGAGCCCGCGCAGTCGCCTGGCTCCGAGGACCAGCAAAATTCGCCGCACGGAAGCGGCGAGCGAAGAGCGTCATCCTCCTCGACCGCTGCCAAGCGGAGGATTGCGATGATGCGCGGACTGCACAAGTCTCCCGCCCAGCGCGGCGAGAAGATCGCGCCGCTGCGTGTGCTTGTGGTGGAGGACGATCCGATCAACCGCATGATCCTCAAGAAGCGGCTCGGTCTCGACGGACACACTACTCTGCTGGCGGTCAATGGCGAAGAAGGCGTTCGCCAGTTTGAGAAGGACGCCAAGGAGATCGATGTGATCCTGATGGATCTGCAGATGCCGATCTGCAACGGCCAGGAGGCATGCATCCGCATCCGCGAGCTGGAGAAGAAGTGGGCTTCCGGTGGCGAGCAGGCCGACCGACCGGCGTCGCAGGTGCTCAACGGGCGCGTGCCCATCCTTGCCGTCTCGGCGACTCTGGTGCAGTCGATGCGACAGGAGATGGTCGAGATCGGCATGGACGGCTGGCTGCTCAAGCCGATCGACTTTGCGCGTCTGGGCGCGCTGCTCAAAGGCCTGCTGCATCCCGAAGACCGCCTGGCCAACCACTGGAAGCAGGGCTACGTCTGGGAGAAGGGCGGCTGGCTTTCGGAGCCGGCGCAACGCTCCGTGCCCGTGGCTGCTTGCTCGATCTCAGCCGCCGCTGCAGACGCCACGGCCGCCAAGTCGGCCTCCAACAATGGCACTGCGGCAGCAGAAGCTGAATCCAGCGAGGCTTCTACCCCGCCGAGCGCGTAGCCGGACTTCGCAGCGCCGTAGCGGTCTTGAAGCGCTACCAAGTCGAAGACAGTATACCGCATTCGCCACGAATGCTCATGGCCTCCTCTGGATACAAGGACACGCACCATCGTCATCATGGATTCTATTTATCCTCTTGCGCCTCTTCCCGTCTCCTATCTCCCTCCTCTCATTTCTCCTTATTCTTTTCCGGATAGCTTTCTATCGTGTCTCCCTCTCATCTCTCTTTTTTCATCTCCCTCTCTCTCTTTCTCTCTCTCTCTCTCTCTCTCTCTCTCTCTCTCTCTCTCTCTCTCTCTCTCTCTCTCTTCTCTATCTAAGGGTCTTTTTGGGGTCTTCTGTGAGGGTACAATACACGCTGGTACTCTTCAGCATTGCCAACGTCTTGGTTGTGTGTGGTGTGGATCGAGTGTGTGGGTGGTGTGCGGCGGAAGTGGTTGCAGCTTGGTGCGCTTCTGTGGTGTGGGCGGTGGGTGGTGGGTCAAGGCGAGATGGATTGCGAGCGAGGCGAAAGCGTAGACTGTGAAGAGGACTAGAACAGGGGGTGAGGTGGGGATCACTTGCAGTTCTTGGCTTGGTCGAGAAGCGTGACCACCTCGACGTTTGTGGTAAGCGGGATGATGTACGCCTGGAAGAGACGCAAGACCTGATCCTCGGTGCCCTCTGGATACTTTTGATCCTGTCTGTAGAGCTTTGTCATATCTTTGGCCTTTTGCTGGACCCTACCAAGCACGTTAACCTGCTGCTTCTCATCCGTAATCTGCTGGACCAGCTCTTTCTCGCTGACCGGCGTCTTTTTGAGGATGCTGCAGTACGCCTGGGGGTTACTTTCGAACTTGGCGAGTGCGATTTCGTGGCCAATGACGATTCTTGCACTGATGAGTCGGAGCAAGGCGGTCTTGAGCAACACGGTAGCTTCTGCATCCAGGCTGGGGTCCTTGGGGAGCATGCCAAAGTTGGCGAACAAAAATCCGTCCAGATTCGAAGCGTCTTGGGGACGTCGACCGACGGGAAAGATTCCCTTTCCCTTGACGGGTTGATCCAGTACAGCATCGCGAGGCAACACGATCGGAAGATTCGTCCAAACCGCAGGAGGGAATGGAGCTTCGTTGAACGACTTGCCACCCTCGGCGAGCCACTCGGTGACGTTGGCATTGGGCTGCTTGAACTCGTACGCTTTCGGAGCAGCTGTGAGCGACTTGAATACGAATCGGGCCCGTCCGTATTCCATATCGGTGGAAGCGCCGAGGGCGGCTCGAGAGAGGTAGGCATGGATGATGGGCGTTTCGTACCGCTGAAGCTGCAGACGCAACTCGTCCAGACGCTCAAGAGGGTTAATGTTGGCGGTGGGAGGCTGATCGATAGCGGCTGCATGCACCAGCACACCAGCCGAAACAAAAGCCGAGACGAGAGAAAGCACCTTCATCGTTCGAATGCGCAGCAATGTGGATCACGTAGAGAGGTGAGGGCCGATTCTTGGCCGACGAAAACCAGTGCTATATAAATACCTTTTGCCCTGGCTCTCACGGGGCATGGGCGCAAGCCATGCTAGTGATGCTGCAGTGGGACCAAGCTGTGGGTGAAGCTCACGGCCCACCGGCTCTCCGAACCCGACACTCGCGAGGCGTGGTTTGTGCAGTGGGGCGGTGGGTCCGCGTGGAGACACTTCATCTGGCTCGGTGGGTCGATATTCCCCCTGCCGATCGCTGTGCAGATGAAGTGGGTCCAGTGGGACTCGGTGGGCGTTCCAGCACGTGCTGAACAATGGGTCGACGACGGATCTAGTTTAGCGTGTGGGGCATACAAGCGTGGCTACGGATGTCGACACGCATCCCTTTGTCGAGCCGGCAGCAGGTTTCGGCTGTCTTGCGTGAAAGCCGGCGGGGGGTTGTCGGCGAAACGCGGCAGGACGCGACTCGCGGCTGCGCGAATTTGGCGCCACCTAAGGAAAAGACGCCGATTGTGCAGCTGTCAAGGGCGCGGTGAAAAAAGCGGCTGAATTTGACCTGCATAGCCGTTCTAGCCCGATCCTATCCAGTGCCTCCCGTTTGCCCGTTCACCACCATCGCATTGACGAACGCCTGGGACGATGCCCGTGAATGCAGTTGCTGAAAAGTAAGTTCCCCCTTTCCATCTTCCACTCCTCAAAGCTAGCTACTGACAAGCGGAGCGGGGGGGTTCAGTGTACTGGGTACGATCGGGACGGTGTTTTGGGCGTTCCAGCTGGTGCCCCAGATCATCAAGTCGCATCGACGCAAGGACACCGACGGCCTCTCTGCGTGGCTGCTGCTAATCTGGGTGGCCGGATCCATTCCGCAGGGCACGTACCTCGTGGTGCAGAACATCAACATCCCCCTCATCGTCCAGCCGCAACTCTTCTCGACGTTCGCCATCATCGCCATGGCGCAGTGCTGGCACTACTCGCACGGGATTGCGCTGCGCAAGTGCATCGCAGCAGGCGTCGTCACGGGTGCAGTAGCAGGCGGACTCGAAACGGCGTTTTACTTCTTGTGCAAGCTCGGGCAAGATAGGGGAACGAGTGCGGCAACGAAGACCATGGGCATCGTCGGGGCTGTGTTGATCGTGCTCGGACTGGTGCCCCAGTACTACGAGATCTGGAGATGGAGGGAGGTCAAGGGAATCAGTTTGTGGTTTTTGGCAATCGACTGTGCAGGCGGAGTGTTTAGCCTGCTCAGCCTCGTGTTCAAGGCTGAATTCGATGGCATCGCTGCCGCAAAGTAAGTCCCAAGCGTCCCATATTAATAGAAGCAAAGATGGATGGCTGATCAGTTCGCTTTCGAGTGCAGTTACATCGGGATCGTCGTGCTGGAACTCGGCATCTTTGCGCTGTACTTTACGCTCAATCCCCGGGCAGAACGTCGACGCCAAGAGCTCCCGTCCGAAGCCACCACAGAATCCACCGCTCTCCAGCAAGGTGCCGAAGAGACACCCGATTGGTCGCGCCATACGACGCTCGAAAAGCCACCCCAAGAGCACACGACATAAACAAATGAAGGGTCGAATTGCAAAAGAGGCAGTTAGCCTTCGTAACCCTCCCTGATGAGCCATCGTTCGATATCCTTGACGAGTGCCTCGTGCGATTTCTTCTCTGCATCCATGAGTGTCGCCTTGCCCTTCTTGCCCTCCTCGGCGGCACTCGCCACGACGAGCGTGTTGAGCTTGGGATGCTTGGTGAACAGCTGGCTTGCCTGGGCCGCGTCGGCGTCCGAAATGACCACCAGACCCGAGATGGCTGGACGCGCACCAAACGCACCGCCTCCAAAGATCCTACTCCAGAACCCGCCTGCCGCCTGTCCGGGTTGGATGTACCTGCCAACCGCCTGTGCCGCCTCATCCGCATCGCCCGAGTGGTGGACAAACAGCACCGGCTGACGCTGCAAATTGCTCAGCCTGATTTGCTGGTGCAGTTCATCCGCCAGATCGCCACCGGTCTCGGGGATGGCGAGGTTCATCTGGATGCAGTCGTACCCGGCTTCGCGAAAGTATCCGATCCAGGAAAGCCACTTTTGCTGCTCGCCCGATCCACCCGCGAGGCTGGACATGAGACTCTTGACCACACCGGTGCGGGTGGCTTGGGAAGTGACAAAGACGAGCGTGACTGTCTGCCTGCGTGGGGCGGACGGCGATGCGGGTCGAACGAGCGTCGAGGATCCCGTGATGGCTGCCTCGGACTCGGCCGGAGAGTGGATGGAGAACGAACGCTGCTCGGACGTAGTGCCCAGACAAAACCAGCCACCACCAGCCACCAGCCCGCCACCGAGCGTCTTGAGCGGCCATGCGCGTCGACCTGCAGGACCGGCAGGAGTTGTGGGACGCGTGTGCATCGACCGCACCAGCCCGGCCTGGATGGACAAGGCCGGCGCGGCGCCCAGCGTGCGTGCTGCAAGCTGGCTACCGCGCAACAGCGGCTGCGTGGAAAGGAGCGAGAACGACATGGCGATTTGAAGCTGAAGGGAGCACGGTATTGCTAGGGTGGTTGCTGTGGTGGTGGTGGTGGTAGGGACGAAGGTGAATGCGGAGCCGTCCGCTTCTATCAAAATGACGCTGGGTGGGTGCACCGTGCATGCATTGCTGCAGCCGCACACTGCTCGGATGCCACAACTGGAACCTGGCTTCGAATGTGGAGTAAGCCCAAGGAATTCGACATATCACGAAGCGGTCATATTGGCAACCTTGAACCGTTCTCATCAGCGAGCTTCTTTAGCTCAGTTGGTACGAGCG